CCGGGTGGATTTTGGGGTAGGATGGAGGGGTTTGGTCCTGCCCCGGGGGGATTTTGGAGGCAAAAGGGGTCTGATCCAGGCCGGGGGCAGGGAGCGGGGGCTGGTCCGGGCCGGGGGCAGGGAGCGGGGGCTGATCCGGGCCGGGGGCCGGGCCGGGCCGGGCCGGGCCGGGGCCGTTGGGGACCTTCTCCCTCCCCAGCGGCCGCGCTCGGCCTTGGCCTTGGGCAGCGGCTGCGGCGGCGCTGGGGAGGAGCAGCTCGGGGGGACCCCCGGGTCCCGCCTGTCCCCTCCGCTCACCGCACCCCGCGGTGACCGTGCCGCGGTGACCGTGCCGCTGTCCCCAGGCTGCTGGGGAGGCCGGGGGGACGCGTGTCCCTCGGCCACCTGCGCCCCCAGCCCCGCGGGACACCCCGGCAGCTCCGTGCTGCTGTGCCTGTGCCACGGCCACCTCTGCAACGGCAACGCCACCGGGACAGCGGCGGCCACCGGCACGGCCGGGGGGCTGGGGGGGCCCCGCCAGGGCCCAGGTACGGGGCCCGGGGCGTTCGGGGGGCTCGCGGCCCTGGGGACACACAGGGGACCCACGGGGGATCCGGAGACCTTCAGGGGACCCGGGGGAGGCTGGGTGGGCCTTGGACCCACGGGGGACCCGTGGGGGACCGGGGAGGGGGGTCCATGAGGGGGGCTGGGACTCGCGGGGGTCTGGGGAAGCCACAGGACCCCCCAAAGGGTCCCCCAGCACCCCCCGGCCACCCGGGGGTCGGGGGGCTCCGTGTCACCGCAGTCTCTGTCCCCAGTGCCCGGCCGGGGGGGGTCCGCGGGGACCCTGTGGCTGCTGGGTGCCAGCCCCCTCCTCATCCTCCTCATCTGCCTGGGCGTCCTCGGTAGGGACGGGGACACGGCGGGGACGGGGGGACCCCCGGGCACAGCCAGCCCCTACCCGATGTCCCCTGGGTGTCCCCAAATGCCACATCTCTGGTGTTCCCGGAGCGTGGGTCTCCCGGGTGGAGGCGGGGGGGGTCCCCAAGAGTTGTGTCACCCTGTCCCTGGGGCGGGGGGTCCCTGGTGTGCTTGTGACCCCCTGGGGTGGGGTGTCCCCGGTGTCCCGGGGATCCCGGGATGCCACATTCCCCGTGTCCCCTGCCTGGCGAGGTGGGCTGTTGGTCCCTGCTGTCCCCAGGTCCCGTGTCCCTGATTTGGGGGGGTCCCCGGGTGGGGGTGTCCCTGGTGTCCCCCATCCAGGACTGCGCTGGACAAGGGCCCGCACGGGGCAGCCGCCGCGGGGGGGGCGGAGAATCGGGGTCCCCCCGGAGCCCCCCAGCCCGGACCTGCCTGCGCTGCACTTCCTGCAGGTGCGGGACACCCGCGGGGCGAGGGACACCCACGGGGCAGGGACACCCACGGGGGAGGGACACCCACGGGGCGAGGGACATCGACCGGGGGACACCCGCGGGGCGAGGGACACCCACGGGGGAGGGACACCCACGGGGCAGGGACACCCACGGGGGAGGGACACCCACGGGGGAGGGACACCCACGGGGGAGGGACACCCACGGGGGAGGGACACCCACGGGGGATCCACGTGGGAGGGCAGGGAAGGACGTGATGCTGGGAGGGGACCCCCATATGGGGACGGGACGTGGGGACACCCACGGCAGAGGGGACATCAGTCCGGGGGGGTCACAGCAGCGCGGAGGGTGCCCGGGGACCCCCAGGGGTGGCCGGATACGGGGGTCCCTGTGTCGGGGTGCCGCGGGGCCGGGGACGCGCGGTGCCAGCCGTGTCCCCGGCCCCGCGGGGCAGGTGCTGCAGTCCGGGCGCTTCTCGGCGGTGTGGCGGGGCACGCTGCGCCAGCGGCCCGTGGCCATCAAGGCGTTCGCGGCCGGGGCCGGCCGGAGGTTCGCGGCCGAGCGCGCCGTGCACGCTCTGCCGCTGATGGAGCACGAGAACGTGGCCAGGCTGCTGGACACCCGCGCGGCCGGACCCCGCGGCCGAGGGGGGCTCCTGGTCCTGCAGCTCTACCCGGCCGTGGGTCACCCGGGGGCGCGGGGGGCTGGGGGGTACCAGGAGTGGGTGTAACAGGAGTTTGGGGGGCTGGGGGGTACCAGGG